ACTATGGAATACAAGTATATCAATGATTGTAAGACCCTTCAACGCACCGATTACACCTCTTGGTCGTAATAAATCTTAATGGAAGGTTCACACAAACTCAAATATTTCACCCATGTCTCCACAAAAATGTTTTTAAATCACAGACAATGGGGCAGAGAATTGATTTTAGAAGATTCATCTTGAATTTATCTCTAACATGAAGTAAAGTTACGTCCAAATGACACTGGTTGGCAACTTGGCCGTAAAGCTAAAAAACAAGTGATAAATATTACATCTGTCACTTTGGTGAACATGAGAATTGCAATTCACATGTGTAAATCTCAAATAATTTAGTCATAAAGAAATTCTTAATGTGGAAGAAATTCAAAATGTTAATTTATTGTTCAATAACACAAGAATAAAGCATATATCTACCTCGGAAAAGTTGACCCATTCAGATGTTTCATTTGGAGTGCCCATATCATAAGCAAGAGCATATCGACCCTGGAAAATGGTGCAGAGACTCCATAAGCATTAAATGGCAAAATAGAAAGTACACCGAATCACTACAACTCAGATAAACCTCAGCTGGATTATAGTCAGTTATGACAGCTTCATAGAAATTGTTATCATCAGGCCATCTGGTCCTTACTTTCCTTCCAATTAATGAATCAAATGAACCTCCTGTAAGGCCACCTGAAGAAATACGGTTACCAAACTGACCTCTTCCAGCTGAAATAGAGGACGGATATTGCATTTTCATTGAAGATGCACCAGGAGGTATATGACCCTGAAATAACAATTAGAATCATAATGGGATGCAGGGTCCACGTTGGTATTTAAGTTTTTTAACTCACAGTTTTGTGGTGTTGGCTTTTCAGCCCCATTATGGGTCCATGCTTTACAGCTGATGAAGGTGGCTGGTTCGCTGGGTTAATTGACTGTGAGGGAAAAAGAGATGTACCGACAAAGGATTGTTTTCTATGAGAAGCTGGGAAAGAAGGGGGCAACGAACCGCAGACAGCTTGACCAGCACCATGCATGCCTGGTTGAAAGCCACCTGACAGTCTCCACTCCCTAAATGCATTCCCAATTTGGCACATCAAAAGAAAGAAAATAGTTCATTTTGCATTTCCCTAAATTGGAAAACCAAGACTTCAAAGGAATGAGAGAAAGTTTTTGTATGATAGAAAAACCTTATTCTTTGGATCGTTTCATCTACATTAACCCTGCCTAGAAGTTCCCTGTGCTCCTCATTTGACAGTCTTAACTCTTTCCTGAGTTCAGTTATTAAACTTTCCTTCTCCTGTAGAAAAATGATATTACTTTGAAGTCATTAAAAACCTGATAAGAAATATGCTAATATTAGATTCACTTGTTCAACGAGAGAAGAAGTACCCAAGTAATGGCATCAGCTTGAGCTTTAAAGGCTCTCAGAACTGAACTATATGCTTCTTGCTCGAGCAGATGAATTTTGTCTTCCATATCAGTTTCACCATATATCCAAGGATATGGGACAGAACCAGCGACAGAAGGCCTTCCATTCCCAGAAGTGCTGCCACCTCTTTGAATTCTAGTTTGAGGAGGGAGATCATCTTCAGTCCCTGAACCAATATCAATATTGCAAATATGAAAAAAATTGATTTTTGGACCAATGCCAGAGTGGCAAAAATCAATACCAAAAGCAAAGCAATTAGGAAATTGAAATATTGAAACAACGCATCACTCAAAGTTTTCACAATTGCAAAGAGCAGGGTGAAATTAATAAATCCGCGAGATGAGTATCATAGTTATGTTTCTACATAGCTTAGAGACATCTAATAAATATATATTTCTATGGTGCCAGACTAGAAAGCTGTTAGACATGAATTTACTGATTATATGAGGAGATCTTTTTCCAACAGTGTGGTTCAATCCATATATCCATGGACAATTTACTGCGTGGGTACATCGCTTCAGCCTTAACATCTTTCAAAGTGAGAGCAGCAGGTAGAGACGAACAAAATTAACAAAGAGCTGGCGAACTGGTTGTCCAAGGCTGTGTCATATCACATATCACAAAGGACGAGGATAGTAAAAAGGAAACACTACTTTGAGTAAGCATAAATGAGTAATCTAGCATTTAATAATCAAAAACTGATCACTATCAAAGTCAATGCAAATATAGACACGCGGTCATGAGAGGCCGTACCATTTTACCGTCTTTCCAATAATTACAAGGTAGCTCTCTGAAGATATGCAGAGATCACTAGAAGACAGGAATGTCCATTACGATTTGAATTACTCCTTACCATAGGCAATAGAAAATAGAGAAGCAATGGTGCATACGTTTCCTAACGTGCAACAGAACCTTAAAAATGAGTACAAAGTAGAACCAAAAAAAGCCATACATCATATAGGTAAACTACTTATATATCCATATTCAACCACTTCCATTTAATGTTATCACTAATCAAGGCAATCCTACTTTGATACACCTGTCCCTTAAAAATGGGTGATAATATAAATTCATAATCAATAAGGCCATACATGAGATGTGGTACGTTAACGAGTAGCACTTGATCAATATTAACCATAAAACTAATTACACATTTATATTCTACCACCCGTTTCATTATTTCAACTTCTGAAACACGTGATACCACTTGAAACCTTTATCAAGTACTAAAATTTTGTATACGAACGCATGGTATAATCAGATCAAAATATTGCTCTCGTACAGTAAATCTTACATAAACTTACAAGAACAACGGCATTGAATTGCACATGCATATGATTCTTCTAATGGAAAATGCATCTATTAGCAAACCTTGATGTTTCTCTCCTAAGCACATTTTGCGTAACAAATCATTTATAAAATGATAAAAGTAGCGTTTGAAACAGATGAAAATCCTGTGAATTTTGCATAAACTTTAAACCCTAAACAAAGAATTTGTATTAACTAAAAATCGAGTTAATACAAAATTATTCGTTTAAAAAATTGCAAATTGATAAATGCAGATAGCCTGCCTAATTGAAAATCCAAAAAATAAAAAAATAAAAACGGTAGTCCATTGCCCGCTTTCAAGCAAGAAAAACTGAAAGCTATAAAATCAAGCAAGAAAATCACATTAAAAAAAACTGTAAAATCAAGGCAAGAAAATTCAGTAACTCTACTAAAAAAACTGAAAGCTCGAGTATAAACCCTAGCCACTCCAAATTCACATACACATTAATGTCTATTACAAGAAAATCACGCACCACTACTATCATTCGCCTGGTAGTCCATAGCCCGCTTTCAATAGCTTTGAATGAGGGGGTCCACAATGTACATGAAGTATGTACTGGGGGGATGATGAGTTAATTTCACCTATAGTCACTTAGGTTTGTAAGAAATTTCAAATTGGTTTTTAAATGTTTTTCTTCGCTCTATTAGACATTGAAGATTATATAGGTTTCACACGCGTCACTCGATTAGAAAAAATATTGAATAATCCGATAATGGTTAAAGAGATACTAATCCAATAAATATTGACAAAACCAAAATTTTGCCCTTCAACGTATATGGTTGAACTAACAAACACGAGAATATTCTATCTTCCAAGTTTTGGCATCCCTTAAAAAGATAATATTAATATATACACTGATCTAATTTGAATTAATTGATTTTCAATAATCTTGAGTGCTTGCTCAATTGATCAAGCATTGAGTTTGCTCCTCAATGGTCATCTGTTCGAGTCCCCTCAGGGCCACTGAAATGAGTATCCGACAGTAAATTTCAGAGCCCCGTGGGATTAGTCGAGGTGCGCGTAAGCTGACCCGGATATCCACGGTTATTAAAAAAAAAAAAAAGGTTATATAGCTAGAGTAAAATGGATGGAATCATACGGCAATGCATGCATTATAGTAATTGGACCAAAATAACGATACCAAAAGATAATGTTAACCGCAATGAAAGATTGATCTAATAGTTTAAATACCAAAATTATATAGACGATTATCGTTAGAATGGCAAAGAATAGAGATATTTTGTGCCAGTTACCCAATAACGAGAAACTATTACAACATATCTAAAAGAATTGATACTTAAAAATAAGTTCGAAGATACCCTTTATTTAAACTTTTTAGAACATCTCAAAACAAGTCTCTAAATACAATATGCTATCCATTTTGGAGAGTAAATATTTAAAAATAAGTTTCAAAAAACTCTTTATTTTAACTTTTCATTACTCTACTTATTAAATTATTGAAATAACACTTGAATTGATTGTTGATTGATATNAAAGTTTTGTATTCTTAATTAACAAAATTGCAATCGTGACTAACATAATTGATAATCTCAATCTTTTGGTCACATTTCGACCTCAATCTTTTCATATATTGAGATAAATAATCTCAGACTATTTAATCGAATATTGTTTAATACGTAATTGATCGAACTCTATTTGCAAACGACTCTTCTGCTCAAAAATGAAATGCTCCTAAACATTCTTGCTCCCATTGACCCATTTGTATCTATATGCATCAGAATCCAAATGGCAAACATAGGGGTAATAAGCAGTATAATGAAGTGAATGGTATGGTCCTCATGCTTGTGGAATTGAAAGGCGCTCTCAACAACAGCAACAATCGCATCAGCAGAGGAACAACAATCAAAGGCAGAATGTAGACATTAAGGACTTGCATCTGTTGAAGATTTGGTTAAAGAATTGTGGAACTTCATAGAGTTTCAGGAAAAAGAATGTGATGAGGAAGGTAACAATTTAACAACCAGCAAATAAAGAGAGGGAAAGAAAGAGGAGAAGAATAGAAGAGAGAATCATAGAAAGATTTGTATTCGTATTCAATAATCAAGTTGTCTTATTACGAATAAAAAGCCTCTTTATATAGTGTCTAAACTTGATTTAATTTCTCCTACACGTAGAATAGACTTTCCAGTTTCCATGTTGCATCAGAATGCCTTTAAAGGTTTTATGGAAAATTTTATCGATTCATTATTACAACCTGTCCGTCTACGCAGTGATACACTCGAACATAATTTCTTATGTTGTTTTCACTTTCCATTCGAACATTGTCTTAAGTTGCTTTGCTTGTTCTTCAATCCGCGTCTGCAAGTTTCTTTGACACTAAATCACAGATGGAGTGAAAAATGAGTGCTGAAGGATTAATGAAGGGATGAGTGAAATAGCGAAAGGAGATCAAAACCAAACCTCCAATTGCTCGTATAGGCGCCTTTGGAAATCTTTCTGTAGCCTTTGTGCTTCTACTATTAGCATCCTCCTGTATACATTACATACAGAAAAGTCTATTTACAAAGTCTCGAGTATATCTGAAAACGTCGTTTTAACAAGAGTAAAACAATCTCTCGACAAAGGTGTGGTCGACCAGAAAATTGATGTAGTCGAATGTCATTGCAGAAGAATTGATTTCCATTGACATGTAATTGTTCATGTAGTCAATTTCAAATTTATTGAAGGTGAAAATCAGCTGAAGATAAAATTGTTATTTTTTCTCTTTTCATTCATTATCAAGAATCTTGAATTTTTGTAAGAAAATGATACTGGATGTAAATCTTACGTTTCTGCATCAAGCTGTAGTGTTGAATATGCACGTATCGATTTCTCACCTTTCCCTGCGTTAGTGAAATAGATAAAACCATAAACAATTTGTCGAAGACTAAGATAAATAAATATGTTCCCCTCTCTAACAGCTTGAGGTTTTATCTTATCTTTGTACGACGGGTGTGTTGAAAACCGATTAAAATAAATAAACTTTCAGACGAGGTGGTTAAAAACCATTCATTATCGTTTTTAAGCGATATCTACTACTTGAAAGCTTACAGAAATCAAGGCAACCAATATTGTGTTCAAGTTACACCAGAGCCAGTACCTTCAGTAGATTCTGATATGTAGTGAGAAACACGATACTTCTGCGGAAATAAAACGATAAAAATTATAGAAAACTCGAAATTTCTTGGGCTGAATATAAGTATAGTAGCTTAGCAAACCTGTAAATGGCTCTTAACATGAAAGATTGTCAATCCATCACAATTCATTAGCTTCAGGATACCCTTAGGTTTTGCCTCTGCACACAGCCAATTCAACAGTGTCATAAGTAATTATTTGATTTTTATTACGAATGCTTCAAGTAAGTGCTTAGCTTTACTTACTTTTGGCACCCCCCAGTCGATTTACGCAGTCGATGAATTTCTTGTGAAGATCCTGAGTCCATCTAATCCTCGTTCGATTTCTTAAAATTGGCTTTTGCGAAACAACGTTGTTTAAAACAATAGATGTAATCCCTTGGGAACTATCTGGCTTCATAATCTGAGTGCCATAGGAATAAATTTTCACGTGTCAAAATATACTCGTATATATTGTTTTAAATGAGCGACGGAAAAATCAGGTATGAGTCGAGTTAAACTAATTTACTGACTTCGTAATTTTTGTCGAAGCTTGAAAAGGAACGAGTCGAGCTTTGATGCTGCTGGAAGACGGATCCAATGGACTTCTCCTGTAAGTTAAGTACTCGATTACCACGAAAAGAAGATTGCACAAGGGAATGCAAAGTATCTCTATGTTGAAAATTGGCATCATCTTCTTGTGATGAATCAAAATCATTCGAAGGCCTAAACATTTGATAATACGACGAGGCGTTGCCAACTTTATGATCGGTTACATAACTTGGCGACTCAAACCGGATGGAAACATCAACATCGACTGATCCAAATTCGTGCCGAACATCAATCTGTCGACTATTCATTTTTACGCTACCGATGAGAGAAACGAAAAGAAAGACGGTCGAAGAATGAACTCGAAAGGCTGGTGCTTTATAACGAGTCTGCCTAACAGTATCATAGAAGAATCGGTGCAAAATGACAAGAAGACTCCAAGAAATAGGAGATTGAACCAACGAGGAAAGTTCTATATAACAAGAAATGTGCAATTTTTTTCCTCAAAGCTTTGTAAATGCTTTTTAATAAGGAAAAGGATAGGGAAGAAATTGACTGACAACTAGGCCAAGTTGCATCTTACTGATATAAACATGAACCTGACTAAGGCAAATTCCAATTGAGATAAAGCAATATGATTAATCACAAACAGCTTATATGTCAGTTTTCAAGGTGGATTCATAAAATTTTGTTTTGTATCCTTTGACCTATACAGATTCTTTAAAAAAAAAAAGGGACTTTCAGTCAGTACAATAATATAATTGAGATGGAATGTTGTCATGATGTCAATATGATTACAAAAAGTGCCATCATAGTTGACTAGGTCGCAGCAATAATCCTAGAAATAATTCATAAAACAACCCGAGTTGCATTGCCAGGGAAGAACACACATATCGAGGGGGAGGGAAGCATTTTTTTTCATTTTTAATTTCATGCGGGTCCCACGTCGGTCCAACACTCATGTGAGGTTAGGTCAACCAGGTAGGCAAATCAATTCGGGCAAACTAGTCCTAGATATTTAGCCCCTATTTTAGCTCCTATTTTGGGGGAAAATATGTTTTTTAATAGTGATTTTCTTGAAAATGTGCAGTTAAAAATTAAGAACAAATTTTGGGTTTACGGGAAAAATTATTTTATTGAAGAATATACTGTTGAAAATGAGATTTGAAAAAATAGAGGCGAAACATAGGCTTACGGTTCAATGCTATAACTCTTGTCATCTCATGGGAAAATGAGTAGATGGGATTTGATAGTGTTTCATAAGAGAGAATGTATGGGGAAGTCTTAAAAGTGAATTTGTATTCAAATTGTTCTAACATCTCATAATATTTCGTTTTTCGTGGATTACAAAGAACTTCTCATTTCATCATTATATTTCATTTGTCGTAGCTTACGAAGAACTTTTCTCATAAATGAAACGAGATATATCCATTCACTCGAAATTGGATACGTGATCCTGGAGTGTTCGATGAAAAATTGTGATGTATACTATGCATAAAGTGACAAATATAATGTCTACAAAAACAATGGTTTGTTGGTTATGAAGGGAGGCGGCATCACGATTCATTTGGGACAATGTTTCTTTGTCGATTCCAGCATGTTTGATGGTCATTAAGAAATTGAAGCCGGCTCGGCTCATAAATGTTTGCCCTAGTTGTTAACTAAATTAAACTGACGCTTAGGAGTTTGAAAGGACTCTAATATAGTATGGAACTATATGTGACTTTCAAAACGGCCAAAACACTACTAACAACATGAATTGCAATTTTTGTTAGTATTTCAAAGATAAATGCTTCATGTGTGAATCTCGCGATTACCTCGTAATTAGGGATGGTAACAGGTTGGAGCTGGCTCCGCCCGTAACCACCCAAGTTCAGCTCGATCCATTTGTCAATGAGTCAAGTCTGGATAGGTCGTTAATCAAGAGGCCAGCCATGCTCGAACCATGGGCCTGGCCCATGTAGGGCCAAGATGAGTCATTCCATATGCTCTCGTATATATTTTTAATTAAATTACAAAAATCGATGAAGATATGTATGATATGTAACCGAGCTCACAAATATGACATAAAATCCGTGTAGGGCTAGCCTATGTCCCAGGCTCGACAAACTGAAAATTGAGCTCGACTCGAAGCACTTTGATATAATGGATCCTATGTGATAGCTTGAAGCACTTTGATATACCAATAAGGTCGATATATACCCCAATACCTTAGTATTTTGGGAGTTAGAATGAACAAACTAGCGAATATATATTCAAGTTAAGAAGTATGTCACCCTAATTGAATTAAAGAGTCCCCTTAGGTACTTCCTAATTAACACTTTAAATGCCTGTTTGGGGTGCATTATTCAGCTGAGTAGAAAAAAAATGATAGTTAGGGGCTATGCGTGGGTCCCAATTGGGAGAGAAATAGTCAAAAATGGTGGCTTGACTTGATTTGCAACGTTGGAATTTTGTCTAATGAAGAGATAATGCTCAACAAACAAGGGCTAAATTTGAACTCCATATTTTGCGATTAAATATCTAAATCATACCAGTGACTAAATCACAAAAGCCATTGAGAAAATAAAGCTCAATGGGGCTACAATAATTAGAATGACAAAGCAGTCATTTTATGCCTAACTCCAGTCATGATGTCAAGTTTAATGTGCTTGACGGTCAACCATAATACACTTGTCAGTGTTATGCCCTAGATCCAATTAACTTTGGACATAAACACTTTAAATATATATAATTGATGCATGTATGATAATATCTATTATTTAATTGAATTAATATTCTAATAAATTAAATAATAGAATCCGTTAATTCAAATCTTGGTGATTTATTAATCACAAGGAGTTGTGATTGTGAGATACAAATTATAAATGATCGAATTTTAAATCGTCCATGATCGAAGTAATAACGATATACGGATATCGTTATTACGGATAGACTATCGCGTGTGGCATTCTTACTTGTGAAGTAAGTAGCTGATCTCACAAGCTAAAGTGTGGTGACACTTGAATGAACACGTGGATGTTTTGTTATAGAACAAAACATTGGAGATTTGATATTTTGTTATAAAACAAAACATTGGAGACCCACTGAGAGATTCCACATGGATAACTATCTGAGTGTTAGTGGTTAATCTCTAACGTTCGATAGTGGAATTGGTCCGTTGACTTAAGGTCGTCATAGTACCTTATATGAGGACAGTCATACTTTGATGGTGTTGGATGTTACTCTGTTAAAGGTCGCTAATACAGCATCGTTCGGGTATGTTAAAAATCATATGAAGGTTGTGAATGATCAATAGAGGATTCGTCGCTCTTAGATAGTAAGAGATTATGATCTGTATTTTATCTAGTTAAGTTAATAATGAAATCCTTGGTCAAGATGAACTCATAAGTCGAAAAAGAGTTTTCGACTTACATTGACTTAGCACTGGGATAAAAAATATGATCGATAGTTGAGATTGACACGTATCCGTATCTCATTATTGATTGGATCATATTGACGAAATGATTATAATTTCACAGTAAACGAACAAATTTGGTTTGTCACATCACGTGACATTTCTCATGACATGTATTGCCCTGACATATTGTTAGATGTCAATTTGGGACGACGAATGTGAATTAGTGATAAATTAAAATGGGTGTTTTAATTTATCGATTTTGATTAGATCAAAATAATAATTCACGTCGTTAGGAATCGTGATCGGGAACCTAATAGGTCACACACAAAAGAGAACCAGAAGAATGAAATTTACCAATTAATTAATTGACAAGTGTTGGACAATTAATTAACTGAGTTGCTTATTAATAGGCCCGAATTAATTAATTGGATTAATTAATTCATGAACCAAATTTAATTAATTTGATTAATTAAATATTGGACCGGTTAAAGTTTGAGATGGGCCAGCCCACTTGGGTTTATATTAATAAGCTGCTAGGGTTTGTAAAATGTATAAAATTTTCATTATTCTTGCTAACACAGGAAAAGAAAAACTCTAGCCGTCATTCTTATTCTCTATGTGGATCACCATTGAAGGTTGGACAATTGGACAGCTTAGATTGTAGATCGTGATCATTGGAGTTCGAGAATTAGCAAAATAGTTTGCAGAATTCATCAAAAGTATTATTCTCAACACGTTTTCTATCTAAACACAAAGTAGATCCGTGGTGGGAATTGAAAAATTATTAATTTTTCGCTGTGTATGTTAAGTAAATTCCCAACAATGATATCAGAGCCTACTTTGTGTTTGTTAGAAATTGTTTTGCTTGATTGAACAATTAAAAGTTGATTGTTTATATTTGTTTCTTGAATCTAGCAATTTATAAAATTATTTTTCATTTTCAAAAATATGTTTTTGAAAAAGGAAGATAATTTTTCCTCAAAAAAAAAATGGAAATCAGGCATGAACGGGGTTGTCGCCGCTGCATTTAGGGGTGCAGCGTTCGCGCAGCAGCAACGCGAACATTGTTGTTGCGGCGACTACCCGTCGCATTCCATTTATGCGGTGCCTTGCCGGCGCTGCTAATTTAAAAAAAAAAAATATGAGTTCTAGGGTTTCAATCAATTTTTGGGGTGAATGGAGGCGGGGGCTTCTAATGCAATTTCTGAAATTGCGGCCCCCGTCCACAATTATTGAAAAAGGTTAAGTTTGCAACTTCTGAAAAAGGGGTTTGTCATGCAATTAATATTATTGAAGGGCTTGCTTTTAATTTGAAACTTGGGTCAAGTTGCAATATTCAAAAGGAGTTTTGAATTTAAATATTAAAATTGATTTTCAAATTGGTTTGATGTTAAAATTCAATTTTGACCCCGTTTAAAATTTTATTTAAAATTGACGACTTTTATATTTTTGTTAAAATTAGATTTTAACTTAAATATTAAATTTTGACGATAAATTGAATTTTATTTTATTTAGGAGATTTATCCTAAATTAAAATGTTAATTCAATTAAATTGAAGTTGGACTCTAATATAATATTTAATTAAAATTTGATTTTAATTAAATCATCAACCTTAGTATATTAATGTAATTAGAGTTAGACTCTAATTTGATATTTAATTGAAATTTGATTTTAATTAAATTGTCTCACCCTAAAAATTTTCTTGAAATCAGAGTTGGACTCTAATTTGGTATTTGATTAAAATTTGATTTTAATTAAATTAAACCGTATTAATTTGATTATAATTAGAGTTGAACTTTAATTTGACGTTTAATTAAAATTTGATTTTAATTAAATTGTCTTGTCCTAAAATTTTATTGGAATTA